TAAGAACTCTTAAGAAACTCTCATCGAACGGTTTATAAAGCGTTTTATTTTCGCCAGGATAGCGCTGGGAATGGCGAAGCGAGTCGGAAATCGGGCAGAAAATGTGCAACGCGTGTCGAGTTTTAATGTACGTGCACGCGCGTTTTGCGCGACACAGTTGGTCATCTGTTGATCAACGAAATCGAGAGATAATGTCGATCTCCAAAGTGAGAAAGAAGGAAACCCTCACAGGAGAGCGTCCACCGAATCGAAACGTGACGCGCCTGCACTTGTCACATTGCGCGTGTGCGCCTTCAAGAGATATTAATCGGGATACCGTCGTTAATTAACTGAACCGCAGGAAGCTTCCTCCAGATGTACACAGATACACGTGCAACATTACAACACTGTTGTAACTCGAGGTGTTACATCGTAGCGACAGACTTTATGAAAAGTGGTTTTACGACTGAATCGACTCGCGCGATGAATCGGGCCTCGTTATTCATTGAAAACTCACGCTTTCACCTGTTCGACTCCGCGAAGCCTCAGTGATTTCGATCCGATTCCTCCCTCGAGTTCCTTCAGCCTTCCTAGAGCCAGCACAGAGAATTCAAAAGGAATTCAAAAAGAACTCAATCGCGTGTCACCGATTCTGAGTTCATTTTCAGACGCCAAAAGAATTCTTCAGAATTCAGTTCAATGAAAAGAATTCTTTTTGCGTCTAAAAGTGAACTGAGAATCGGTGACACACGACTGAATTCTTTTTTAATTCTCTGTGCTGTTTTGGTTTATGTTAACACTTACACCCACACACAAGCGTAAAGCGATGTAACGTGCGAGAGACTGGACGAAAGGACTGCACTGATATGCATAAGAAAGTGCAAAGGATACTTGCACACACGCGTATACGCAACGCGCACACGTCCATACGTTCACGCGAAAACGTGAAATATACATATGTAATGCGCATACATAACTCGTCCAGGCACACAGTGGGAGAAAAGTCTCACTTTTTGGACAAAAATCTACCGACAGTGTAATTTTCAACCGACTCCTTAGAAATCTTGTGCTGCCTTGAATAGCATTTCAATACTTTCGACATTCATTTTCTACCTGCCATTTTGAATTTCAGCTTTGTTTCAACAATGCCGCAACACTACAGTTACAGAGCTATTTTTAACGACTAATTTTTTTAAAAAATCTTTGAAATTGGTTGAAAATTGCACTGTTGGTAGATTTTTGTTGAAAAAATTTGAAAACTTTTGTTGAAAACCTTTTTCCCACTGTAAAGCGCTGCGGTGCGACTGATTTTCGAAAATTTCTTCCTGCAGTGCCATCTTGATGAATGATTGCGTTATAAAGCTTGACATGCCAGCTATAACCATCTCGTACCCTTATCAGAGGCGCGTTCGAAAACGTCATCCGGGACACCCGTTGGAGTGAGAGAGATACGAGAGTGAGATAACGAGAGAAGAAGAGCACTCGTGTGACCTTTTCGTACCTCAGAGATGACCGTGTAGGACAAAAAGACAACCAAAAGCTGTTTCATTTTCCAGTGAAGTACACACCGTCACAAATATATATAGTATCGTTAGGACTATCCACAGACTTCTATATAATATCCTTAGGGCCGATTGTTCCAATCTCTTGGTAAGCTATCTAATAGTTAAATCATCTCATATAGCACAAATCTCTAGAAGACTTTTTCAAGAATTCCAAAAGTGTTCTGGAGAGCTTAAGAATTCTTTCGGAACTCTTTAAGAAGTCTTTTAGAGATTTGTGCTATATGGGTCTGATTTAACTGTAAAATAGCTTACCAAGAGGTTGGAACAATCGGCCCTAAGTATATTATATAGAAGTCTTTAGGTGCTCCGATACCGTATGTATTTGGAAAACGAAACATCTTTTTGTGAAAAAGATTCTGAGGTAGAGTACAGGATACCTGGGAGGAAAGAAGTAAAACACTTAATTAATAAAAATGATAAAATTGACTAATATATGTTTGCAGCCGACTTGTAATATGAATACCAACATTTGTTGTAAACGTGAGGAAAACTTTACATAACTTACTAGTATTTGAAAACAACTCACCACCCATATAGCACAAATGTTCACTAGATATCTTAAGAATATTCGAATATTCTTAGAACGTTCTTAGGATATCTATTGAACATTTGTGTATGGGCAATATTCGAAAACAATAACAATATATAAATTATATTTTTATATCTGTATAAATTATATGCAAAATATAAATAGATTGTATAAATTTTAAAATAAAAATTTTCAATAACAAGATATATGTAATATAAAATTATTCATTGGTACCCTTCAACCACTCTGTAAAGTATGTTTACGAGGACATTCACGAGGAGGTTGCCGGACAGACAATTGTCGTGGGACAATGTTTGCTGGCAGCTCTCTGAGCAGCTCGTGAGCGTGCATAAACATACAATAGAGTGTGCTTGAATGGGGCCAATAAAAAATGTTATATTATATATTTTGTTTTGTTATTGAAAGTTTTTATTTTAACTGATTTTTTAACTGAAAGTTTTTTGTTAACTGATTTTTATTTATTTTGACTTCATTTGATCTTTATTACACCTTCAGTTCTCAGTCGATAATCACCGTCATGAAGAAGCAGTCGCGTCTCAAGCGTTTTCAAACATGAGACAGAGCTCGTCACACACTGTGTGGGGCTTGTTAATTTTCTTTTTTTAATATCTCGAAATTTCATGCGGTTGTTAACAAAATGCTAGGAGTATCCTCGAACCTAGGTTGATATGTGCTCTACCTTTTTATCACACTTTTTTTCAAGAGTAACGTTCGCATTTCAGTATCAGTCGCACCAGAACCTGGACAAGCTGTGTATATTCAGATAGCACAGAGAATTCAAAAAGAATTCGAAAAGAATCCAGTCGTATGTCATCAATTCTGAGTTCATTTTCAAGTGCAAAAAGAATTCTTTTTGCATCTAAAAATAAACTCAAAATTAGTGACATACGACTGAATTCTTTTCGAATTCTCTGTGCTATCTGGGTACTCACACACGAAACGATAGATCCGCAAAACGATAATTAGATGACATTTATTACATACCTCGAAAAAACACGCACACACACACACACACACACACGTGCGCGCACGTCATCACATCATTGATATAAATTGCAATCCACAATATGATTATTACTATTTACGATATAATTATTATCTTGCATTGTCTAGTCATACGTTATTATTGTATAACTAACGATATTAATTATTAATTAATCTGTACTACCTAGTCGCATTATGTGTTGCATAAAAGGAAAAAAAGAACTAGAAAAATTCCAAAGGCAAAAGAGCACCGAGCGAGCGAGAGAACGAGAGAATGGAAGAGAAAAAGAATTTGAGAGTGAGCGAGGAAAATACAAAAAGAAGAGACAGAGAGAGAGAGAGAGAGAGAAAGGGAGTGATTACGATAATTTGAGCGAGACGATTCAAATGATATTGACGATAAAGATGATGATGACGATGATGATGATGATAATGATAATTCGAAATGGCAACAACGGCGAGTACAATGTGTTTGCGAGAGGACGTAATAGAGACAGGGAATCGTGATAAAGAGGAGCGTGAGGAAGAGATAGAGAAAGCGAGGATCACCTCCGCAGGCGTGGATCGCAAGATCACCTCGATCCGAGGTCGAATCGAGTCGTAGCGATCGGACCCGCGTACTCGCGGATTTTCAAAAATCTGCGGTCCTGTTGACCGATAACTACGAGAACAGAGCGCGAAGATAGAGCGAGGAAAGCGAGCGCACGGTGTCAAAAAGTAAACGTAAAGACTGTAAAGACTGACGATGTAAGCTGATGATGTGTAAGCACGAATAAAATGCATTTCAGACTTATAATCGACGTATTTAGATGAATTTTTCCATGTCGTCGACCACGCCATCGACGACTCGCGCAGGTAGATCGCTGTGTCTCGATCGATCGCGCCTACGACCGCGAGGTACGTTATAGTTAGGATAAGGTGTGAGGCGACGAAGTGATGATGATGATGATAATGATGATGATGATGAGTGAGTGTGAGAGAGAGAGAAAGAGAGTAATTATTGCCACGAGACACGCGTGCGTCACGACGCGTTGCGTCGTGACGCGCACGTACGTGGCGGCAGGTAGAACGAGAAAGAAACTGCGGTAAAAAGAAAGTGAGATAGCACGAAAAACAAAACGAATATTAAATATATGCGGGGGCCGTGGAGAGGAGGGAACCTTCCTTTTACCCGAACAATAAAATAAAAAAAAAGAAAAAAAAAAGAGGAGAAATATACACCGACGGGCGTCTTCGTGCTTGTCCGTGACGTCCGTCGTCTCGAGGAGACAAAAAAGAAGAGGGAGGGGGAGAGAGAGAGAGAGAGAAAGAAAGAGTGAGAGAATGAGAAATGAGAGAATGAGAGAACGGCAGAGAGAAAGAGAAAGCGAGAATGAGAGAAAGAAAGAGAAAGAGTGAGAGAGAAGGATGAACCTAAAGTCAGAAATAAAAAAAAATGCGATATATATAAAGATATATAAATATTATATGTGAAAAATATGATTATTATATACATACACATATACACGTATACGCGCGTTTCGCTCTCGGTTTTTTCGAACGCAGCAAACCCCGTAACCCGCAAGAGAAAAAAAAATGCAAAAATACGTCCCCTTTACGTGCGTCACCTCTTCCTCTTGCGCAAACTTCCAACCTCCCTGCCCTTCCTGCCTTCTTCCTCCCTCCCTCCCTCCTACCCGAGGAGAGCTCGTGGGCTCTACATTGCAATATTTGTACTTTTCCATGTTGAAACCTCGATATACAATAAATTATATTAACAAACTTCGACCGCCTGTCGTCCCTCGTGTATGACACGAACGCTACAACCCGTTTCTTGCGTATCGATTGCTTCCTTTTTTCCGAATTTCCGTTATCATTTACGATACGATTCGCGTCGCGAGATCGAGTGAGATAACGTAGGAATGGACAACAAAAACTCGTGATTGCTCGTGAATTTGTTTTATTTCATAATTATCCGTAACATCTGGCTTCTTCTCTTAGTAGAAAGAGTCGTATCTTTCGTTTTGTTTCAACATACAGTAGAAAACAGGTCTTTTTTCAAGTGAGACACATCAGCATCGTTGTAACATCCCTGCATGGTGGAACTCTTTACAATTAAATTCGTCTCTGTAAGGTACACGATATTGTACAAATTAATATCTTCCGTGAAAAAAGTTCTATACAACGATTAAAACCAACAATGATAGCAACAACTTGTCGTTGACGAGATCGGCCAAATAATCGTTTCATAAAGTAGACACTATAAAGAGAGGAGAAGGATGGCGCGTGTTGATTGTCAAGAAAAAAATCCTGTTTTCTCACGAGGCAGGTTTACTTCTTATGCGAAAAATTCGGTTTCTTCGGGGCGAATTCCAAGCCCCTGATGTAATTCTTTTTGATCTGGTATTTCTCTGCAAGCGATTAACACAGAGGATTACATATTCGTAAGTCGTATTGTCACAGGATATACATCAATTAAGGTCGGATATTTAAGTCACCTGTGAGCAATTTGTACACGTATAAAATCTGATTGCCCTGAACGAGGACGCTGGGTGTCTTTTTGCCGGGATCGTCGGTGATTGTTGCGCTAGCGCCGATATTCTGACACTCCTTGCTAAACTCCTTCGAGTTGATCCCGAACGTCTCCAGGTTGTTGACCAGCGTCACCTAAGCAGTACGTGTTAATGTCGTTCAGGATACCCAACGACCTCATTGTCTCGTATTAATAGTCGTTACTTACGTGAGACATACTTGACTTTATAATTGTAATCGCAATTCAACTCTAACAGACACATCTCCCCGATTTTATATTCAGACAAACGCATATCTGACAAACATATCTCTCTAACTTTATAGTCAAATCCGAGTATTTCGCCTTTGAATGAACTTTGAAGCAACGACTATCAATATGATGACCTCAGTATCATCACTCCCCACCTTCTTGCCGCCTGATCGCACCACCACCCTCATATCAATCGGCTCCAGTTTGCCCGTGTGCAGTAAGGTGTTGCCCGCGAGAGTGACTTCGTGCATGTGCGTCATGCGGCCGATGAATTTGTTGATCCCGTCTTCCATCGTCACCGTCTCCTGGTGCACTTTGGTACGCATGATCCCAGCTAGTTGGGGATTCAGTTTTAACGTTCTGCAACATTGCAACGCTGTATCGGTCGATGGCGCAAAGTTAACACCAAAAATCGCGATATCGAGTCAAAGCGTCCTTCCCCATCTTACTTTCCATTCTGCAGATCCTCCGCCTTCACGTACTCCGTGAAGCACTTCCTGATCTCGGCTCTCTTCATCACATCGCCCTTTCTGCAATCATCACCGTATATATTCGACTTCTTCCGTTCCGCACAATCGTCCTTTCCGCGCGATTATCGTCGCTCGTACTCACTCGTATCCGAATTTCGATAAGACTGGCAAAACGTCGGCGGTCACGCGGTAGCATTCCGAGACCACGGCGCTGTTGGAGATCACCGGTTCGGCTACGACTCGTTCCTCAGTGACGACTAATCTCCTCACGAGGGGATGATCGAACTGAAACCAACGCAGGAATCAGAGATTCGTTTCAATTTGTAGAACAGAGTGTCCTTATTTGAAAGAGAGAATCGTATCACACCTTGATCGACAACAACGTCTCCACGCCTTTCGTCACGGACGTATTGATGATCCCCTTCGCCTTCATCTCCGCCAAGAAGACCGACAACTTTTTGTACCGAGACTTCTTCACGTCGACGTTCTTACTCGGCGGACAAGCGGCCAGTAGATGATTCTTGAAGAAGCTAGACGACAGCATCGGCAGGTCGTTGGACTTTATTGATGTTTTGCATGCTTTCAGAAAACAATACTCCAGTAACCTGTCCATCTCCTGAACTGGGTCAAGTGCTACTTCGGGTTCAGTCGCATCTGGATCTTGTATATCTTCCGTTTTCACATCTTCCACGTCCTCTACGCGTTCCTAAATAAGACACGATGTACTCATATTATTTATTAGATTTATTTCTAGCATATATTAATGAAATCTTATCTTCATTGAAATTCATCGATACCTCTAACTCCAAAGTATCAGTCTCATCTGTGACAACTTCACTCGCATTCTCGTCGATATCTAATCCATCTAATTTATCTGACAACACTTCAGCTTGATCTACATTCGTCTGCTGGCTATCTGATTCTCCAGTATTCTCCAATGTGTCAGTGGAATCCTCAATATATGGTGGTCCCAAATCCGGTCTCAAAGGTGGCTTACCCAGCTGACATAGAGTATCGCCAATCACATGGAAAACCTCTACACACTTGCCACGACCAGCAGCCATATACATGTCCTCACTGGAAAGTGCGGTGATACCAACAGCAACAGAAGCCTACGAAACAAATCATTTTCATGGTATTTCTCATCGATAAACAACCTCATCATAACAATCTATATATGTAAAACAGAATATCTGTTAGCATATCTGTTCCCTATTAACTCTTAAACTCTTTGACTGATCTGGATCAAATTTTGCACAGTTATTCTCTTAGGTCCTTACAGAAAATATAAACTACTGTGAAACTTGGACACCCTAACCCTTCCCCTTGACTTCATCCCCTTGATACTTTGTGATGATCCAAACAACATAACGATAAACAATAGTTTAAGCTAGTCTATAATAATAAAAGACTCAAACCTTATTCTCTTCTGTATTGACTGACACTGGAGTGCCCTTGGACAATTTACCAAAAGTGTAAAAAGTCAATGGTTCTTTCAGGACTAATCCAGGCAACATCAGATCAGCACCACCTGCTAACTTGGATATGACTGGCATACGTGTAGTAAAGGTGTTCAATAAACACGGATGACACCACAGCGTATAAATTGTTGGAAACAATACTGTGGTCTGTGAATCTAATTGGAAGAACATAGGTATCTTAGCCACACAATATATTTTGGCCATATGTCCACCATGTGTAACTATCTTCATAACGCTGATGGATTCCTTCTTGGGTAACAACGACTGAATCTCTTCATCTGACAGACTCGGATAAGCCGCCAATACTTCCTCGCATAACTTTTTTCTATAAAAAGAAAAGTAATAAACTATACTGATATAATCTATAGGCTGATATAATCTTTGTTATCTCAAACATACTGCGATCTATACTGTATAGATATATTTAAAACGTGCACCTGTTATAAGTAAATTACAGAATTTCTCTTTATTTTTTAATGTTTTATTATTTATATTCACATCTGAGCGATTGCATGTACGAAAAGTCGCGAAAAGACATTTGTTTGTACTGTTTGACAGGTAGATACATAACTTTCTATAACCTTTCAAATCAATCTAAGAAATCCTTCACGTGATAAATTATCGAAATATACGAAAATATACGAACCTCTCGGTCCCTTTTAATTGATTATTGGACTTGACTTTGAACGGTTTGATAAACATATTGGCCAGAAGAAGTTCCCAGGGCGGTGAGCGATAAACTTTAAATCTAACCTAACGTGCGCGGCGTTGGGTCAACTGTCAGATTTGTTCTTTTTAGTTTAGTTTACACTGACTTAACTATTTTGTATTAAAATACACGAAATTCGATGGGTGTAATTTCCGCAAAAATAATGATAATAAAGTTTGATATGATAATTGAGGAAGCGTTATGCTTAAAGAGTTTCTAGTTTTCAAATAAATTTATAAATATAATGTTTACTTATTTTTTGCCACATAAACATAAATCAAATGTGCGTGAAATGTCAAAATATTTTATAAAGCTGTATCATATAAACAAAATATCAGGCCTCAATACAAATATATTTAAAGGTATCAACTTTTGTCTTTAATTCGCATTCCCGCCAAAATGGGTGGAAATGCACCAATCAGAATACAGTATTTAAGCTATCTTAAGTTCATCTTCAGATACTCCGTAGCCAATGAAATAATCCGTACATCATCTAAATTTCTAAAGAAATTGACCAATCACAGTCGAATGTGAGAAGAATAATTGACTCTAATTGGTTAATTTCTTATCGCCATACTTTATTCTCATTATAGACGGCCTTAAACCTCCCTTTAGACCGATTATTTTTGCAAATTAATTCCAAATCCTCCGCTACGAGCCGCCACTTCCCCGAATATCGAGTCGTCGCATGACGCAACAGTAGGATCAAAAAAAGCTTCTTATATTTTCTCAAGTAGATAGAAGGCACAAAAGGATTAGAAAAAATTATAAAAAATTTAATATATGTATTTTAAAGAAGAACTCTTAAGCTTTTTATTCATTACTTAACGAATATCGTACATTGATCCTTTCGCTTTCTGCAAGCGATTAAAAAGGGGCACTTTTTGCTTTAACCTTGAATAACTCAGTAAAAAAGTAGCGTCGTACTGTAATCTGCAGATATGTAAATTAAAGAGAAATTTTCGTTGACTCATTACACATGACAAATTTCATAAAAAATTATTCACTTGATAGATCTCGAATTTGTATAGCATCATAAAGAATAAATACACTTTATATTCATAAACATGTCTAAAAATTAAAGACCTTAAAGACCTTAAAATTTAAGGTTGTAAAATGCTTGAGTCATTTTATTATCATTATTTTTACAGAAGTTACAACTTTTTGTGTTTTGCCTGCATTTCGTGATTAGGAAGAGAAAAGGCCTTCAATTTAATATATATTCATCTATTTATGTATTACCTTTGTGTTCCATTATTAAAACTTACGATTATTTATCTTTTAGTTTCAAGTTATTAATAAATCGTATAAGCCGTTTTCACTCTAAGTTGAAATTTTGCGGGTGCCGTCGTGGCCTCTTACGGCACGTGCCAACAGTAAGATGAAATGTATACTGCTGACATAACCTAAAATCGTATCATCATGCATAATCGGGCCACGACGACGGGCGGCACGCGAGCGTTTTGAGGTCGCGTCAGATTCGCGCGCACGTCGTCGTCTGGTCGCTCGCCTAATTGTCAAAATAAAGAACAAAACAAAAAAAAAACAAAACAAATGGCGATCACAAAGATCTTGCTGCGATTGGACGTCGCGAGATTCACCGGACTCAGAGTGAGTTTCCGCCGCGTCTCTCCCTTTTCCCTTGCAAATTTCGTAATAATTCCGATCTGTCATTGCATGCCTTCTGTCGTTTATGCCAGTCATTTGTGCTTCTTTTATTATCAACGATTTTTTTACGATCTTGAATCTGTGCTATATGTGTGTGTATACGTTGCTACTGTACTGTGTTATGTTGTGTGTATTTTACATAATACCCCCTGGATTTCATAACTTGCTTTGTCGTAAGATATATTATTTTTAGTTTATACATTTTATATATACAATATATATAGACTAGTGTAAGACTGTAGAATATATTTAATACATTTTAATTTTGTTTTTAGATATTTGTAAATATATATATATATATATATATGCAATTTGAAGCAAAGATGTTTCTGTCATCATGTCAATTGACATCATGAATATACATATTCCGTTATCATAAGTATAAAATTATAAATCCTATCCTATTCTCTCACGCAATGACTTTGTCATCAAAAACAATAAAATAAAAGTTAAAATAACAAGATATATAGTAGAATATATTATAATATTTGCAAACATATGTCCAATTTAAAGCAAAGATATTTGCTCATTTCAATCATCAGTTCATCATGTCAGTTGGCATTATGAATATACATATTCTGTTATCATAAGTATAAAATTATAAATCCTATTCTATTTTCCCTCATAACGACCTTAAGTCGCTGGAAGCAATGGATTGAAAGTTAAAGTAACAAGATATACAACAGAATACAGTTTGCTTAATATCTGCAAATATATGTCCAATTTAAAAAGCAAAGATGCTTCTGTAGCTGTCATTATGTCAATTGACATTATGAGTATATATATTCCGTTGTCAAAAGTATAAAATTATAAATCCTACTGCATCCTCCCTCGCAATGACTGCAAGACATTTGGAGGCGATAGAATGGAAGCTAAAGTAACAAGGACTTTTATGTTTGCAGCATTTAAGCACCAAGCCAAAATTCGGACTACTCTTTGACATCGACGGGGTCATCGTGCGCGGTAAGCAAGTGTTGTCGCCAGTGAGGGAGTCCTTCAAGCAGCTTCGAGGGGATAACGGCAAATTCCGCGTGCCCACTCTGTTCGTCACCAACAGCGGGAATTCCCTGTGCAGGCAGAAAGCGGCCGATCTGTCGGAATGGATTGGCTTCGAGGTCGCCGAGTCACAAGTCGTGCTGGCGCACACGCCGTTGCAGATGTTCGACTACTTGCACGACAAGCAGGTGCTGATATCCGGCCAGGGCCCGATTAAGGAGATCGCCCGGGAGCTGGGCTTCAAGAAGACCACCACCGTGGACGAATTGGTGAGGAACTTTCCCTGCTTGGACTACGTGAACGTGAAGAGGCGGAATCCAGTCTGCGGGCCGATCGATCCGAATTTCGCGCGGATCGAGGGTATCGTGCTGCTGAGCGAGCCGATCAATTGGGAGACGCCGTTGCAGCTGATGGTGGACCTCCTAGTCACCAACGGGATGCCTACGGGTCTGCCCGCCGCTATTCCTTACCCGCACATTCCAGTGCTGGCGTGCAACATGGATCTGCTGTGGGTGTCCGAGGCGCCGATCCCCAGATACGGCCACGGCGCGTTCCTCCTATGCCTCGAGAGCCTGTACCGCAAAGTCACGGGCAAAGACATAACGTACTCCGCTCTAGTCGGCAAACCTAGTGAGATTACGTATTACCACGCGAATCGTATGCTCGTCAATCACGCCCGGAGCATCGGGATCGACAACGTCGACACGATCTATGCGATCGGGTGCGTATCGCGTATCTTTTCTTATTTTTTATATTTTATACATATTCATACATTTTTATATAATTTTTTTTTATTACATACTTTTATTTTTTACATGCGTAAATATTTTTTGTTCTAATATAAAAGTTTTTAATTATTTTTATATAATAGATTTTTATATAAATATTCACACTTGTTTTTATTTTACATATATAATAAAAAATAAAGATGTGCGTATCAACACAATATTAATAAAATTGAAGTAACGTGAAAAGATATTCGAAATATTTTCGTAGACGTGTGGCGATATTGTGATATCACAATATACGCAATCTGAGAGAAAATCTTCTGATTTTCATCTCCCATCAATTCCTCGCTCATTTCTTTTCTAATTAAATGTTCACTTTTCACAGCGACAACATCAACACGGACGTGTTCGGCGCGAACCTGTACGACAAATATTTGTCCCGCTACGAGTCCGGAGAAGGCACCAAGTCCCGCAGTCTCGAGAAGCTGTTGGGGAAGAACATGAAGTCCCCCAGTGCGAAGGCCTGCATCAGTATCTTAGTGGAGACCGGCGTGCATCAGCGAGACTCGAAATTTATACCCGACCATAGCCCCAGGGACTTCTTGCCAGTCGAGGACGGCCTATGCAAGCCGGCGTTCATTGTCAAAGATGTTGGGCAGGCGATCAAGCTCGCGTTCAAAGAGGAGAAGTTCGAGTGAATTCGAGTGCGTAGTAAGATACTTCTAGCCTTGGAGTGTTCACATTCTTACGTCGCCAGAAAGACAGAGCGAGCGAGAGCGAAAGTGAAAGAGTGCGAGAGAGGGAGTGAAAGAGAACACAAGTAACGTGAGTATTATATTAATAATCCTTTAGAGCGCTAGCCATCACCACAAACGACCTTTAGAGCGCTAGCCATCACCAAAGCGGAGTAACAGAGAGTTAGTAGCAAGAGAGAGGCTATAGCGTGTTTGCAGAAAGCATAATCTTTAGTTTGCTCCTCTTACTGTGTCTTTTCGACTCCTATGAAGCAGCCATTTAGCGTGAAGAATCGTACGCGCTTCTCAGGCTCCTGGTCCCACTGTTGCGGAGCCCTGAACAGATGATGAGCGAGAAAACGCATACCAAAAATTCTTGCATGTCATACCTCAATAAAAAGATGTTTGTATGGAAGAACACTTGAGTCTGTAAGCGTATTTCTATAAAATGCTTCAAAAACTATCCTTTTTCCTTGATAGTCAATAAATAGCCTTAAAATTAACGTGGAGAAATCATGGAAAGACAGGTTAAAGAAGAAGGTTGCACGTCACGTTAATTTTACGATTATTTATTGATTGTTGAGGGAAAAAAGATAAGTTTCGGGGTATTTTACAAGAGTATGCTCAAGCGATCTAAAACAATGTTCTTTCTCGCTTCTGATCGTCATCAATCCAGGATTTTGCAGCAGAGAGATCAAGGACCTCAAGATGCGGCTAACTCGTCAATCGACGAGACCAATTAGGATCTAATACGTCACTGTCGCGAGAAGGGAACCTAATGAAAGCTCTCAGAGAACACCACGAGGTTGCGAAGATCGCGCGCGTTCGCAAGATTTGTGTTAATTTATATATATATATTTATATATATATATAGATAGAGCCAGGGTTGGAAAGTTACTTTTTAAAAGTAACTAGTTACAGTTACTCAAAAATTAACGTGAGTCGTTACTTTTAAGTTATTTCAAAATGATTATAAATTATTGTAAATACAAAAATCTTACATTTTATATTTTACTAAAATGTAAAAATTGAATTTTGGAATTAATATCTTTCATATTAATTAGTCTATCCACTTAACAAATTTCAAATCTATACTTAACATAATAAAAATTTAATAATAGTCTTATAGAAGTAAAAAAATTTAATCACATGCTCCATAAATACCTTGATAAATTTATTAAATTAATATACAATTACTATATAATTTTAATTTTATTTTATGTTTCCCAAGTAACTATTAAAGTAACTATTAAAAAAGTTACAAGTTACTAAAAATAAGTAACTAAATTAAGTTACAGTTACAAGTGGGAAAAAAGTAACTAAGTTAAGTTACAGTTACCGAAAAAATATAACTGTAACTTTGTTACAAGTAACGAGCTACTTCCTAACCCTGGATAGAACAATATAGAAGAAAAGAAAATATCGTCGAATTATTGTACATATGTTGAGAGAGAGAGAGAGAGAGAGAGAGAGAGAGAG